GGGGGAGGAGGGAGAAGGGGAGGGAACGGTATTTGGTATGGAAATGGTGACGTTGCATTTTTTTGGAAGCAAATCCTGGCAGTTTTTCAGAGTTTACTAAGAGGTGCGCTTAACTGTGGTACTTAATGGCTTCCATTATTTTTTCACCCTTTGTTCCTATGCCAGCTAGAAATTCTTTTATTTTAGCGCTTCATTGGAGTATTTTAGCGTTTCTTCAATCTGAGCTGACTTTGAGGCATCTTCGAGCATTTTAGGCGAAATAATTTGATTACATTTGATGTGGATTCACGGATTTTTATTGATACACTCTCGTTGGAGAATAACGCGAAATCAGAACGACCGACGATTCGCTTAGAGCGGTGAGAAATGTTATATTTTGAAATAACTTTCGTTAACTGTACCTTTGTGCTAAACCGTTGAGAATTCACAGCTGTGTTGATTTTGCTGCATATTGCCATCTTGCCATCAATTCGCCGAGCTCATGGACATATGCATTTGTTTTGGGACAAACAGATGTACTGGTGAGCTGAATGAGGTGCTCTGCAGAAGAATGAGTAGTATGGAAGTCTTCGGCAAATTACGAGACATCTTTTCCAACCGCTTGGAGCAAGTAACAATCTTGCCTACCTTTCGAGAACGATCCATGGATCAAGCCAGCACAGTTACGATCCGGATTGTGGGTCGGTGAAGTGAATTTAGGCCACTGTGTTGTGGATCGCCGGAACCTCATAGGCCCGTGCAGTGGAGACCGGCATAGTCTAGGATTGCCGGAAATCAGGCTCGACGATGGATCGAAGTCTGCGAAGAAAGCGTCAGAACCGTGCTGACCATGCGCTACCGCGGTCAGTATCAGCCGAAGAACTCAAAGTTCCGGTTGTCCTTAACCCACTGCGAACATTTCGATTATTTTCGTTGTTGTAATAAAGAGAAGTACGGGTGGTGGAGGCCCTACCAGGATCTTATTAATAGAAACTATAAACAGCTCGTCCAGAGGACTGCAAGCACCGGCCGACGTAATGAGAGGGTCAGAAATTAAAATACAAACAAATTAAAAAACGGTCCAGCCGACGCCAGCAGATCGATGTACGAAGGAGAGAAAATTGAAATAGGCTAGAGAGGATTGTTGTGTAGGAAATGTACGTAAACCGTATGTCATGTAGAAGGGTCATGTACAGAGGAATATGTAGAAGAAGGACTCAACTCTTGTCGCAAGGAAAAATCACCAACTCTAAATAGCTGTAATTACAAAAGCGTCGTTTGAATCACTGTACGACCAGTTTCGTTGAAAGATGAAAGTGAAACGTGGAATACCGTACGTTATGAGGAGGAAAAGCGATTACCCAGTACGTGGCCTGTAGTAGATGCCAGCAATTTGTAGCACAACTTCAGTGAATCACTGTCGTTCGGGTGTTTTATGAGCGTTATTATCAAGGCAATGTACATCAGGAGCAAGAGATTTGGGTTGATTATCTGGTAAAGATGATGGACGGGAGATGGACGAAGTGTATTTTTGAATAATACTCGTAATTTTTATGGGAACACCGAGAAGGCTGTCAATTGATAAAGGGAAGGACTCAAAGATTAATGGAGATGTTGCTAGCTGCATCAGTGACGAGAAGAAATGTGACATTGAGACAACAGCTTTAAAAAAACGTGGAAATAAAAGTCTCAAAATCTCGTTCATTCCAAAAAAAAAAATATGCAGAATTTTGGTACTTTGCATAATTTAACGGGCAGTTTTAAAAGGCTGATAACTTTGTACGGAATGGACAAGTATTGCTGGAGTAAATAAAAATAATTATGATTTTAGATGCGCAGAAATACGTGTCCATGATCTAGTGCCGCATGCAGCCTGTGTTTTATCAGTTGATCCAGCAACTCTAAATTATGATTCTCGTAAGTTTGCTAAGAAATAATTTCAGCTGAATCGTGATTCTTATAATTTTTTCAGTACCAGTCAAGCCGTAATTCTCGGAATCAGCATCAGTTGAATCATGATTCTTATAACTTTTTCGGTACCAGCCAAATTTTGCCCCCCTATAGTTGAATCGTGAAATTTTTTGCTGCACTGTTGATCATGTTTTGTCATTTATCTCAAGCCAAACACAGTATAGTACAAAATATGATGAAAAGAATATGTTTAAATGTAAAAGATTGCTAGTGCATACTCAGTCCCTACACGACCCTTCTACATGACAAACGGTTTACCCACATTGACTTCTCTACAATCTTTTCTACCCTTTTCTCTCCTTTTGTATCCCTATTTATTGATTTCGACCGGCTCTGTTTTTTATTTTTTATTTCTCGCCGCTGGTTGTACTGGCCGTTGTTTGCAGCCCTCTGGACAGGCTATTCATAGTTTTTATTGATATGATCCTCATAAGACCTCTACGGCCTGTACTGCCCTTCCCATTTCGCCCCTGATTGTATCGGCCGGTGTTTGCAATCCTCTGGACGGGTTTTTCATTGTTTGTACTGATATGATCCTGATAGGGCCTCTACTGCCCGTACTGTTTTTCCTATTTTATGTTTGATTCTCATATCTTCGGCCTTAGAAAAAAAAATAAGTACCTGTAATTTTGTGCAGAAACAAAAAAAAAGGAAGGAGAGAGGGAGCCGTAAGGACAGAGAATGTATTGATATGCTGCTGACTTAAGGAACAGGCCATCTTTGTTTTATCCCTAAGCTGTAAACACAGAGCGATCATTTTAGATGCGTGAGGGATAGGATTTATCAATACGGTGCCTCAAAAACTTGAATGAGATCAGGTGCCACATCCACGTGATTTTAGTGTTCCGGACTGAAGAAACGGGAGTAACTGTGCCCTTCCTTCTTCGTTTTTTCCGAGTTATCAGCGTTTGAAAATTTAAAAATTTTTAGTTTCTGGAATTTGGAACTTTAAATTTATCTTAAGTTTTTAGCTGTGAAATTCTGCAGTGGTGTAGATACCGTTTTGGTGAACGTATGTGGACGTTTGATTATGTTAAATCCGGTGAAGCGAGATAGTATAGGAAGTGATTCATCGGACGACGATGAAACCTATTTCCAGGTTGGTGATTTCTGCACGCAAAAGTTTATTCTGAAAAGAATAAATCTGTGCTTTGGTTCGGTGGCCAGTCTCAATTCTTTTAGCTAGAAGCATTTGCCGGAAAAACCGGTGCCGATAGCAGCAAAAACTGCGAGGAACTATGCAAAAAACGCATCTTCGCACCGCCACATGGTTCGCTGGCCATTTATGTGCTTTTGACTCAATTTTCTGGTATGTGGTAGTTATTGACAAAGCTGGGTTTTTCGAACAGTTTTTCAAACTTTCATGCAAATTCTTACATACACATTTCAGAAATTTTCTTGCGATAATCTCTTGTATGTATTTTTATTTCAAAGTTTGCCTGAATAAAAAGTTTGGCAATTCATTTCAATTGAATTGTTAATTCATATCCATATATATGTATGTATATATGTATGTCTGTATGTATGTGTGTATATATGTATGTATGTATGTATGTATGTATGTATGTATGTATGTATGTATGTATGTATGTATGTATGTATATATATGTATGTATGTATGTATGTATGTATGTATGTATGTATGTATGTATGTATGTATGTATGTTTGTTCAGTCTTTAATATTACCAAATATAAAATTGTGTTTAGCTGATATCTTCTACTTGTTGAATAGCGTTTGTTGTGCTTAAAATTAGTGATTAATTTAGCATTTAACATTAGATAGTTGTGAAAAAATCGTAAGAATCTTTTTAGACTTTTCAGCTGTTTAAGTAAATTGATTTTTTGGCGAAGAAATTACGCTTTAGCAGTTTTTTTTTCCAAAAATTCCGTTTTAACAGAAAAATATCGTAATTTATCACGATTTTCTCCCGCCCTTATTATTATTATTTTTATCTTTCCTGTACTTTTTCAAGTTCTTTTTTTCCAAAACTTTATTTTTATCTCTTTCTCGCTCGTTAAGAATCTTGTACAGCAGCATGGGTTTTTCAGCTGAGCCAACCGATGCTAATTGCGTCGTATGTTGAGCAAATTTGGCATGATGCTGTCGATGAAAGCGACAGTATGTTCCATCGAAAACCCCATCTAACACATGCACTGTGGCTGAACTGTGGTGCAAAAGGAATGAAGGTTTTTGATTTGAACAAATTTTTGCATTGATTATTTTCATCTTATGAAAATGGTTTCATGTGCCGAAAAGTTCCGTTTTTGTCCGATTTTGACTGGTTCTCGCATTTTTTTTTTTTGCATTTTTTAAATCTAATTCACGTAGTTTTGTTACTTTTCTTGATCTCGAAACGTTCAAAAGATTTTTTAAATTTTCTTTTCTGTTAATATTTTCCTTTTTAGCGACATTTTCGTGTTTTTGCGAAGTTTAACTCACTGTATTGCAGGTATGGATGCCGTTGTTTGCAGCGCGACGTCGAAGCATCACAAACTATGATTCGAATCATTCATTTATCAGCAAACGAATTATGTTGCCATTCGAATTGGATATTGCACCGCTTGGTTCGTTTTTATACGTTTTTTGCATCTTTTTCCACCTGCGTCTATGCAATGCAGAAAACGGATATTGACGAGAGGGTGACGAGGGTCTGTGTGTGTGTGTGTGTGTGTGTGCGTGCGTGTGTGTGTGTGTGTTCGTCTGTACCGATTTTTCATATCGAACCCTACAAAAGCTACAGGGCTGAAACTTTGGGAGCCTAATCTGCGTGCATGTACGGGCCCCACTGCCCAGAATGGGCGTCTTTACTCGTGTAGCACGTACGGGTCTGCCTAAGTTTTTTTTCGGGTAACTTGCTAACTCGGGGACCTGAGAAGCTAAAAGACTAAAATTTTAAGAGGATGTTCCCCCATCCACGTAGGCATTAATGAGTTTAAACTAGCGCCCGTGTATGCATGGTTTCTATGTGCGGGCCCGTGAATTTTTTTGCGGGAAAGTTGCTAACTCGGGAACCAGGAAAGCTAGAAAGTCGAAATTTTAAAGGGATGTTTCCTGACAAACCTGGCGCCCACTCTTCTTTCTTTTAGCTAGACGCATCTGCCGAAAGATGTTGGCGAAAAAAGTCTGTAGGTCAGCGAAAAAAAACATATCTTACCAATTACAAATAGTACTCTCATTCCCCTTTTTTCGCTTCGTTCTCCTCCTCTTCTTTTTCCTTTTGCTCATTTTCTACCTTAGCTTTAAATACATGAATGCGGCAAGTTTAAAAGCGGAGAAGAATGAAGAAGTTGTCAGCTGTATGCGATGGTCGGGATAATGAAATAGTAGCTGTTCAGTAAGTCTGGACACGTTTTTTGTTTTTTTTTTTTAGTTGTATGCAGTCGAGATTGCTTGGCAATTGGTGTGGAAAGTTTGCCAACTTACCCGGATGAGAAGGGAACCAGAAAGCATCAACCAATTTATAATTTACATCGTAAAAGCGAGGTAATTCAACTTTTGTCAGTTTTTTTTTCTTGACCGTTGTGTTTCTAAAGTACATATCAGCCCGTTTATTTTTATTTTCCCATTATCATTGTTGGTATTTTAAATGTTTCCTCTTTTCCCCCCTCAAAAATTTTTCGAAAAATTGAGCAAAATTTGGAAATTCTGTTCTTTTTTCCGGTTCCAGGTTTTCCTTCATCATCTACTAAGGCAGCTACTGAAGCGTAATCTGGGTGTATATGCTTTGGAAATTGCGGCAACATGTAATCGGCTGCCATATTTTGGTCATGTACTAGAACTCCTGCTACACAATGTGCTTGAGGAGGAAGCAACTTCTTCGGAGCCAATACCGGGTTCGGATTTTTGGCTTTTTTTAATGAGTTTTATATTTTTTTTTTAAAGTTTGCAGTAAAATAGGGTTTATGAGTTGCAAAAAAAAAATTATTTCCCATCTCATAACTTCCAGTAATTCTGCTTGTTTCAGATCCACTATTGCCTCGTATTGTGGCATTTATCCAGGAATTTCCGAATTATTTGCAAACAATCGCTCATTGCGCCCGAAAAACCGAATTAGCCCTTTGGCAGGCGCTGTTTGCAGTAACGGGTCATCCAAGAGAGCTATTCGAAAAATGTATCCGCGATGGACAACTGGAAACGGCTGTCAGCTTTCTTATCATTTTACAAAATATGGAAAGCAGCTCGGCTAGTCAGGAGGTTTTTTTTTCATAATATTTTCCACTGAATTGGTAAATTTTGTCATAATGTGCTGAAGTAGTGATATAAGTATAACAATTGGCCAGCACATCGACTGCTGGTGCGAAGATGCATGTTTTTGCAGCAGTTTCCTGCAGGTTTTATAGCCAGCGGCACGGTTTTTCCTCTTCTAGCTAAAAGAATTTAGACTGGCCGCCAGAACTGTCAGGAAATATCCGCTTAAAATTTCAACTTTCTAGCTTTCTTGGTTCCTGAGTTAGCAACTTGCTTGCTAAAAATTTTCACAGGCCCGTACATAGGGTAAGCTGCGGCTGGGATTGAACTCATCAAGGCCTACATGGATGGGGAACATCCTCTTAAAATTTCAGCTTTCTGACTTTTCGATTTCCCGAAACAGTAACTTATCTGGGGAAAATTTCATGGGCCCGTGCGTACCAGGAAGCTGAGTTTGAACTCATTAGGGCTACGTAGACTGGGAACATCTTAAAGCTCCGGCTTCCTCGCTTTTCAGGTTCCCGAGTTAGCGACTTACCCGTAAATAACTTTCAAGGGTCCGTACGTGGAAACTGCGCATGCTTGAGGGCTGGCTTGAACTCCTTAAGATCTGTGTGTGTAGAATAGATCTCCTTAAAATTTCAGCTTTCTAGCTTTTCAGTTTACTAAGTTAGCAACTTACTCGCAGAAGACTTGCACGGGTCTTTATGTGCATGTAGCTTAAGTTCCAAAGTTTCAGCCTTGTAGCTTCTGTAGGTCTCGAGATGAAAAATCGGTACAGACGAATAGACGGGTATGTGATATACTCATTCAGTTCAGTACACCTGGAGAGGGATTTTATCGGCGATAGCCCCCTTTTGAACTGTGTTACTTTTTTTAGCATGCCACAATTTTACTGGAGGAGGCTTTGTCCAAACGACAATGGCTAATAGCTCGTGACATTGTGCGTTTTCTTCGTGCCATCGATCCGTCGGATATTGACGGTTCACCGCGTACACCACCATGCCAAAAGACACACCGTAACGTGGCCAATGTTGTTTCACGAATCCCAACGCGTATCTCCACCGATAATAGTGATGAAACAGATTCGTTTGTTTTTGGAAGCTACAGCGCCCCAGGTGCATTTCTACTTCTTGATTGTAGTATTTTTTTCAACAATTCAGGAAATGTTTTGCAAATTTTCAACCACATAATCTTGCGGACGAAGCACCTTTTTGAAAAGATTATGGGCCCAAGAGGGAATCGAACCACTCATCTTCGCATCCAAGCATTGCATGCTAGACCGCTGCGTCCCTGCCAGCCCCGTGCTGTGCACATACCTGCTGGAGCACTTATATTCTGTATGAATGGCATTCCCATGCATATTCTGTATCGTTTGTCTGCTACATCCTGTGCCACACACCCTTTCAGCAACTGCCGGCTTTTCCCGGGACTTCCTCGGCACATAGGGTGAGGTGATATTGTTTGTAAAAAATCTACAGAAAATAAAATAAATAGCAACGCGCACCAGATTAGCCGGTGCGATCATGCGTTTTATGCAATTCAGCACATCGAACGATTGTCTGTTAATGATTTTCACTGCTTTTTACTTTTGTCTATGCAAAAATAGTTCAAAAATTGGAAAATAGTTAAAAATTTCGCGCACCAGCGCAAGAAAGCTGAATTCGAAACCTTAAAGGATGAATATCTTTCCGTGATTCCCCAGTTAATAGTTTAGCCGCCAAAATTCTCACCAGGCCGTAGGTGATACTCAACAGCGAGGAAACGCT